CCCCACCCACCCACCCCCCCTCCCCCCCTCTCCCTTCTCTCCAGGAGGAGCTCGAGCGGTGGGCCCCGCGGCTCGACCTCGACTTTAACGCGCAGCTGCTCGAGATCTCGCACGCAATCACCGCCACGCGCGTCACCGACCCGCCGCCGCCCGCGTCCAAGGGAGAGGCGCTCTCCGCCCTGCTCAGCGTCGCGTCGAGAAGCCTCCTCGTGCTGGAGGAGCTCGAGCCCGCCGCGTTCCGCGACGCGCGCCGCACGCTGCTGCAGCTGAGAGGGACGCTGCGCGAGCTCTACATGTCGGAGTGCATCCCGTACTGAGTGAGAGCGTCTGCTCCGTGAGTCTCCGTCTCTGTCTCCACAATCACATGTAGGTGTATGTGTTCTTCGAAACTTCCCCAGTGGTGACTGGTGTGTGGACTGTGGTGTGCGGAAAGAGAGTACACGCCAGCCTATCTACAATGGGGGTCTCCCCAGCCTCCAGGGGGTCTCGGGGAGCGCCAGCCGCCACACTAGCTTCGTCCGCCTTCGACCGCGCACCGACGCAACCCCACCCCCCTCTCGCAAAATAATCGTCAACACGCACACACGACCGGCAGAGAACTCTCACGCACGATCTTTCTGCAGACGACTCCGGCAGCGGGACTGCCGCGGTGGGGCACGCGTCAAGCCCCGACATAGCATGTACACGCGTGGCGGCGCAAGGTGAGCTCAAGCTCTAGCGCACACGCTCATCAGCTCACTCGATCATGAAGGAACTTTCCTGCGGGCACACTTCCCCGTGTGCTGCGGCGCTTTGGAGCACGCGCCGCCGCGGATAAACGGCGAGCGCACGCTCGTGCATGGGAGCGCTCAAGACATGCCCATGGATCGCCGGCCTCTTCTCCGCAAGCAGCCGCTGCGGGAGCGCCGCCTGGGGAGCGGGATGTCGCCACAGAAGGCCGCCGGTCCCTTTGGAGAGCGGCGCTGTGCCTAGGAGGCCGTCGCCCGCTTGAGCTCGTCCGCCCGCACGCGCTTCGCCGCCTAATTAAGAGTTAATTAAGAGCTAATTAAGAGCTAATTAGAGCTCGTCCGCCCGCACGCGCTTCGCCGCCGTCTCGGCCGCCGCGTCGAGCTTGGCCCGCACCGCCGCCTTGCTCGCCACCATCTCGCTCGCCTCCTTGTCCGGCTTCGAGCCTACAACACGGGCGATCGCCTAGAAGGTTCGGGTGGCTCATAGAAGGTTCGCTCGCCTCCTCCTCCGGCTTCGCGCCGCGCGAGCGAGCGAGCGGAGGAGGCGCCGCCTCGCGGCCCCTCGGGCGCGAGGCCCAAGTGGTGCCTGGCGACGAGCCTATGGGGAAGGTTCCTGGAAGGGTCGCGGCAAGGCTCCAGCAGGGGGCAGGGCGGTGCCGAGGGACGAGCCGGGGCTGAAGAAGGCGACGGCGGTGAGGAGGGCGACGGCCGCTCCGCCGAGGACCGTCTTCCGGTCCATCTCGGAAGCCTCCTCGGCCTCAACCTCGGGCGGCTTTGCGATCTGGAGCAAGCTGGCGGCGCCTTCATTAATAGTAATTAATAATTAACAGTTAATTAGGCTTTGCGATCTGGAGCAAGCTCGGCGCCGGTCGTGCGGAGCTCGTCCATCCCCTCGTCCACCTCGACGCGCCTGCGGCAGGGTCCGCGGACGGTGAGAGGAGGGGGGAGAGGGCGCTCTCATGCAGAGACGGGCTTTCGCACGTCACGACGCCGTCCTCGACCATCAGCGCGAACCGCTTCGAGCGCAGCCCGACGCCGAAGCCCATGTCCTCGACGAGTCCGAGCGCCTTGACCAGGTCGCCGTCGCCGTCCGCGAGGTAGGTGAGGCTCGAGTCTCCTACGGGGAAGGCTCGGAGAAGCTTCAGAGAAGGTACCGGCCGCCTGCAGAGGGGAGCGAGGCTCGACTCTCCTACGGGGAAGGTTGTGAGAAGGTTCAGAGAAGGTTCCGTCCGCTTGCAGAGGGGAGGGAGGCTCGAGTCGCCGAATCCGACGCAGTCGCGCAGCGAGTCGCGCCACGCGCTGATGACCCAGCGGTCGTTGGTGGTCACCACCGCAATGTTGGAGACGCCGTACTCGCCCAGGGTCTTTGCCGACTGGATCAGCCCAGGGAGGTGGAGGTCGGTGCACGTCGGAGTGAAGGCACCTACGTGCGGTCAGGCTGGCGAGTGAGGACGCGGGCCGACTGAGAGGCAGAGGCAGCGGCAGCGGCGTATCGGCTCTCCGGGCATGCCGATCAGGAACGACTTGCCTTCTCCAAGAGCTTCCGCGATGTTGAGCGAGACGCTCTCGGCGAGTCCTAGCCGCAAGGTCTGGTGCTTGGTGTGCGATGAGCTTGGTGTGCAAAACATGCAGCTGAGAAAGGCACCTTCCGTCGTTGCGTTCGGAGGGACCACCTCCACTTCGACGGCGGGGAGCACGGAGCCAACCTCGATGACGGGAATGTTGAGCTTTCGCTTGGGACGCAGGCGGCCGGCGACGCGGCCGAGAAGGCCCATCGCCGGCGTCGCCGCTCGCTGTGTGAGAGCTGGCGTGGCCACAGATGCCGCGAGGCTTGGCGTAGCCTGCTGCAGGAGAGCTGAGGCCCCGGCCACGATGCAGAACATCATGATTGCCGTCGACTTCCTCGACTTCACAGCACCCTGACCACCAGGTCTGAGGCCCTTTGTCAGCCGTTTCCGTCTGCTCTGCGCGGATCCGTTGCCAGATTGCGGGAAGCTTGCGCCCCCCTTCTGCGGATCGAACCCTCAGATGAGAGGAGTCGCGGTGCTTGAGAGTCGCGCAACATCAAATTCTTTGCACGGCGATCGTCATCACGTCCCACCGCAGAGCGTCCAACGCAAAGCTCGAGACGCGGTCTAGTGTCGCGCACCGGTTGTTTTTTCTTTTTTAATCTTCTGGTTGAGGTATTGGTAAAGCCGAGATTTCAACTTTGGGACAGGCCCCCCAGCTGCCGGAGGATCGTTTCTAGCCACGCCGGATTCGGGCGCGACGTCGCATTCGACGCCCAACGGTGGACTTTTGGTCAGTTTGGCACTTTGAGAGAGAGAGTTCTTGCGTTTAAATTCTTTTTGAAGATTCGGCCGATCCGGAGAGGACAAGCCTGCATCACCTCTCGACGGCGCGGCTGGAGGTCGATCTCGGCCTCTACCCCTATCAGCTTCACTAGTAGGGACGCTGCCTCGTCGATCGCCCGGGTCCTCACTCGGTCCTCGGTCCCCCTCACCCGCACGGCCTCGATTGCCGTCTGTCGAGCGGCCTGCACCGCCTCTCTGGACACCCGAGTCGAGGGGAGAGCCAGCGTCGTCATTGCTCTCGCCACCGCTGGCCACTCCCTCACTTCGTCGATGAAAGCCCGGCCCCGGCCCGAGTACTCCTCGTTGGCCGCCAGCAGATCTCGGAAGCGGCCTTGCCGCTCCACCCCCATGGGGCTTCGCCTTGGGCGCTCCGCTGGCCAGATCCCCACTAAAAAAACTAATCTTCTTGTTTTCAGATTCGGCCGAACCGAGGCACCTATTTTTTTTGCGAGGGAGGAGTTTTGTTGTAAAATTCTCTTTTCGGCATGAGTCTCCCAGTCTAAGGGACACGAGTGAGAGGGGAGAGAATACGATTCCATGCTTTTCTTTTTTCATTGATCAAGACGGCGCGCCAAAAATTCCACAGGCCTCGCCGATCTGCGTCGCAAAACGGCTGCGTCATGCCTGCAAAAAAGCGCGGCCGTGTCAGTATGTCGCCCGCCGCCGCCGCCAAGCAGCCTGAAACGACGCTCAAGGTGGCGAGAGGCGCGGATGCCATGCCGTCCCGCGCGGCGGCGGCGGCGATGCCTGTGATGCTGCTGGTTACAGAGGCCAGCCAACCGGGTGCGGCCATGGCCGATGCCGCACACGCCGACGTTGGCACAGAGCTGCCGGCTCCACCGCTCTCGACGGGCGACAGCGCGGGCGCGGCGGCTAAACCGGCTGCTGCTGCCGCGCCGCCGCTGCCGCAGGCTGCTGCTGCCGTGCCGGCGCTGCCGCCGGCGGGCCTGGCCAACCTCGCTGCGGGCGGGCTTGCTGCTGCCGGCGCCACCTTCGACGAGCTCTCTGAGGCGGGAAGCGAGCAGGGCGATACGAGCGACGATGGCTCGGACAGCGAGCAGGGCGACGACGATGAGGAGGGTGCGGGCGGCGACTTCGAGGAGGGAGTCGCGCTGACAGAGGACGGGAAGCGGGCGCTGCGCGAGAATTTTTCGGAGCTGTGCGAGGGCATCCCAGCAGGGGAGGGCGAGGACGCCGCGCTGACGCAGGTGATTCGCAGCCAGCGGGCGCGGCTTCGGGCAGAGAAGCATGGGGACGCGTCCGATGTCACCACGGACGCGAGCGAGATGCTGGAGATGTGGCGGCTGGCAGAGAGCGTCCAGGACGGCGCTGTGCTTCTGACGGTCATGGTGTGCCTCTGCTCAATCCTGACACTGCTCTTCGTTGCTGACGTCAGCGGCGTTGGGTGGCTCAAGCGCGTTCTCTGCTCATCGCACAGGGAGGCCGCGCTCGGCTGCTCCGCCCTCGCTGTCCTGCTGTCGATGCAGCTCGTGCGGGCCATGCTGGCCCGCGCCGGATTCTTCCAGCTGCTTGTCGCTATCAAGAGTGATCCCCGCTTCGACGAGTGCACCGAGGCGCGCGCACGGCCTCCCTGCACCGGCGTACAAATTCGACGCGTCTCAGACGGGACACCTCTACTAGAACCCGCTGCCTTCCGCCCCGCACGCAGGCCAACTTTCTGCGCGCTCTCATCTGGTGCGGGGCGCGCCTCCGCGTGCTGGCCTGGCCCCTGTGGCTTGTGGAGCTTGTGCGATCGATGATCCCTTGCTACTACGGCGCCGAGTTTGCGCTCACCGCTCAGACCGCTCCGCACGCGCCAACGTCGGAGCAGCGCGATCGCTACGCGTGGTATGTGTGGAACAACAACCTCGAGCGCATCGAAAAGATGGGGAGCCTGTTTGTGGCGGGCGGCGCGCTCAACGCGTGGTTCTCCGGTGAGTGTAGTGACTCCGGCCGCCCACGCAAAACTAGACTCGCAAATCAATAAGAGACTTGTGACTCGCCGCTCGACACACATGCACAACTCTCTACTACTAACGCACTAGTGTCACCGAGGCGGTCTTGTCCCGCCGTCCCTCGCAGGTGCCGCCGTTTTCTGGCTCCTCGACCTCGACGGGCGCTGGAAGCGGCGCCGCACCTACTCGCCCACACCGCCCCTCCCCACACACCCTAACGCTGCCGACAGGCAGCAAACGGCGACGCCTATAGGCGCGCCTTCAACTCGCAGCAAAGCCTCGCCGCTGTTGTGCTGGAGGTGGTGCGCGGCAGCGACCCCGGCGTCGCTGCGCCAGACGCCATCCACGCGATGCCGCACCTACTCGACGAAATGCTCGCTGTCTCACAGCAGCGTGCGGAGCGCTGGTGCGCAGAGATCCGAGAGGAGGGGCCGCTGACCCTCTTCGCACCGGGCGTTCGCTCGTTCGAGATCTGCGACGAGGGGGAGCGAGTGTGGGTCTCGCTGCGGGCGTGGAGCCCGCCGATGGCCGACGCCATCGGCGTGCCGTACACCCTCGCCGATCCGCCCGCCGACGCCGCGCGCGACCGAGCCGGCGGGCTGCTGCACGTGCCGCTGCCGGAGCCCTCGCGCCCGCTCCGCGATTACGTCGCACACGCCTCCGAAGCACTGAGCGCCCTCACCGCAGCGGCGTCTGCGCTCGGGACCGCCGCTCCGACGGCAGCACTGGCCCGCCTGAGGGAGCTGGCGGGCCAGCGCGCCTCGCTGACGACCGCCGAATTCGACCGGCGGCTGAAGCCGCTGCGGGAGGAGCTCGGCAGCGCGCCGCAGCTCCGCGCGCCGATCGGAGCGTACCTGTCCGCCTCCCTCTCCCTTTGCCGGCACCTCACCCGTGGTGATGTGCGGGCGGGCTGCGCGGCCGCCAAAGCGAGGGCTGCGCGGCAGCGCGTGCGCCGCGAGCACCCCGCCCTCGTCACCGCCGCCGCCGCCGCGGTGCGGGCGCTCGAGGCGCAGCTCCGGCAGCATCACCCCGCCGCGGAGCGCTCCACCTTCAAGCCGCAGCTGCGGGCGGCGGCGATCGAGGCGGCGCGCAGCAGCGCCGCAGCGGCGGGCGCGAGCAAGGCCGACATCCGCGCGGCGGCGGGG